CATTTCAGGCCGAGCACGGTGGCTCACACCTGTAATGCCAACACTTTAGGAGGCCAAGGCGGGTAGATAACTTCAGGTCAGGAGTTTGAGATCAGCCTGGCCACCATGATGAAACCCCAACTTTACTAAAAATACAAAAAATTAGCTGGGTGTGGTGTCATGTGCCTGTAATCCCAGCTACTCAGGAGGCTGAAGCAGAATTGCTTAAACCCAGGAGGGGGAGGTTGCAGTGAACCAAGGTCATCACACCACTGCACTCCAGAGCCCGAGCGACAGAGCAACCCTCCATCTCAAAAGGGGAAGAAAAAGCCCATTTCAGGCCTACATTCATACACACATATACGCACACAGACACACACTTTCATGACTCCAGATCTTTGCTGACGCCAATTGTTTATTCTTCCTGGAAACCTCATCTCTTCTTCCTCTGCCATTTAAGTTCAGATTTATATTGATGACCCCCAAGAATCACTATTCCTTCTATATTCTGTTGCTTCCTTCTACCTGGGGGTGGGGAAACAGGAGGAGATGAATAATCTCTGCTAGCCTCATTCTACAGAGGATGAGGGCTCCCTCAGCCTCTTCCTCCTCAGCTTCTCTCTAGGGGGTCCCGATGACTGAGGGACCTCTGACACTCGATGCCTCCAGGGGAAGAAAGTTCCCTTCAGAAGAGCAGCTGGCACAGCCAATTTTGGGTCTGGCTCTGCCTCTACTACTTCATGCCCCTTCACACGGTCTCCTGGTATGAGCTTATAAACCCAGCAAGGCCATGAGCTCATCTTGAGATCAAGATATTAATAGAAGACTCCACTCATGGGAGGGCTTTCACAGCTGCTACTCAGCATGGTCAGCCAAGAGAAGACATGGAGTCTTACTATTACGGACAGCATGCTTCACAGATAATGTCTTCTTAAAGCCTATCAGCTTAAGCCTACCAACAATACACACGCAGCCAAAGTTAGGGTTATTAGCTTGTTGGAGCAAGAGAGCAGGTATGCGAGAGAAATCATGGAACACGAAAAGGTAAAAGTTAGGAAAGCATATTTACTAAGACTGGGGAGCTGGAGTTAAATGTTCTTGGCAGAGATTGGTCAGACTCTGGAAACTAGGGAGTTGCTGAAACAGTCAGTGATTTTATCTACAGAATGCAAAAGTCACAAGACGTACACCTATGTTCATAGCCACATTATTCTTAATAGCCAAAAGGTAGAACCAATCCAAGTGTCCATTGACAAATGGATAAATAAAATGTGATGTATACATACTATGGAATATTATTCAGCCTTAAAAAGGAAATTCTCACACATGCTACACATGGATGAACCTTGAAGACATTATACTAAGTGAAATAAACCAGACACAAGAAGACAAACTTTGTATGATTCCACTTACGTGAGGTACCTAGAGTAGTCAAACTCATAGAGACAGAAAGTAGAATGGTGGTTGCTGGGGACTTGGAGGAGGGGAGAATGGGGAGTTATGTTTAACGGGTACAGAGTTTCATTTCTGCAAGATGGAAAGGGTTCTGTGGATGGATGATGGTGGCGGTTGCATAACAATGTGAATGGACTCAGTGCCGCCAAACCGTATGCTTAAAAATGGTTAAAATGGTAAATTTTATGTTATGTATACTTTACTACATTCTTTTTAAAGTCACGTGGAATGACTGTGAGATCAGTTTGTCCGATGTCCTGTCTAAAAAACACGGGTCTGCATGTGCTGCTGAGAAGAGTTTGAGTTTAAACACCTTCTCCTGCATGCTGAGGCTTGGCTCGGTATAACTGTTCTGCCAAGTCACAGAGCCGATTTGTAAGACATGATTTCTGTTTTAATTCTCAGTTCCCCCATCTCAGACTAGCTGTCAGCAGAGCCATTTTTTACTTTCTCAATCTCATTTTTTTGCTTGTTTGTTTATTCCTCTTAACAACTGAAGGTAGTACTAGATTCGAGATTCCAACAGAAACCTGCCAGAATTCTCAGCATGGACTTCTCTATCATAGGGGTCCCCAAAAGGTTAAAGCAGGTCCTTAAAATATGCACAGTCTGTCTGTTCCTAATACATCACAGATGTAATTTCGTATTGACTATTCCACGAACCCTAAAATACTCAGATAAATATGGCATTGCCTGATTTCCAGGACCTCACAGACTGAAGAGCAAAACATATAAATACACAGCTATGTGTAGGAAATATAATAAATCTAGAAGGTAAATGATCATAGGCCCACGTTAAATATCTACATAATTGTGATACTAATCACCTACATCTGGTTAGAAGCCTTTCACAAGGAAGAGATCTCCTTTTCCTAGAGATGAGATTCAAAATTAAAATGGAACACTACTAAAAATTTAATACATTCACTTAGATTTCTCTGAAGTATAAACGATGGTGCTAAAAGAGTAGATTTAGATAAAGCAGAGAAAGAAAGCAAACTAATTTCTAACAGATGTATCATAATTTAAAGCAGGAATCGGCAAACTTTTTCTGTAAAGGCCCAGAGAGTAAATATTTAAGGCCTTACAGGCCATATGCAGCCAAAGACAATATGTAAACAAATGAGTATGGCTGAATTCCAATAAAACTTTATTTAGGAAGCTGAAATTTGAATTTAATTTTCACAGGTCATAAAATATTATTCTTCTTCTGAATTTTTTCCAAACATTTAAAAATGTCAAAAACCATTTTTATCTCTCAGGCTGTAGAAACACGAGCAGCAGGCCAAATTTGGCCTGCAGCTATAATTTGCCAAGCCCTGCTTTCAAGGCTGGCTTCTCCAAGTGTAACCCATAGCTGGCAGCATCAGCAACACCCAGGAGCTTGTCGGAAATACAGAACCTCATGCCCAACACCAGATCTGTGGAAGAAGAACTTACATTTTTAACAACCATCATGTGTTTGTTTACGCAGCTTAAGGTCTACTCAGACTCTGATATGAGACTGTGGTCAATCCCTGTGCTTCCCAAGGAAATGACCTTGGGAATATTCTGAACCTCTGTGCCTCAGTTTCCCCATGTACAAGATAAAGATGATAGCAGTCTCCCTTAAGCATGGCTGTGAGAGTTCTCTCTTTCTCTCTCTCTCTCTCTCTCACACACACACACACACATACGGCTTAAAACAATATTTGTCATTACTATTATAAAATCTTATTTTCACAACCATTCTCTGAAATAGGCAATGTTTACCTAATTTGACAGAAGAAACTGTAGTCCAAAGAATACAGAAATCCATCTAGGATTGCAATTTAGTCCTGAGGATAATGATCAAAGGGACAGAAGGGGGACAAACACCCCAGGCTTCCAGATCTTCAAGCCCATGTTCCCCTCCCAGGGGAACACTGTCCACAACCTCTCAGCTCACACCCCTCAGATGGTCCCTAAAATTAAAGTTACCCTTTCATTCCTTGAAATTTATTTTCCATTAAGTTGCATGGTGTTTTGTGTTTTTCTTTTTTTTTTTTTTTTTTTTTACAACTTTTTTTTCTAGTTTTTTTTTGTAAACTTTTCCTTTGCTGAGTCTTGGAGCTGACCGGCTGTTTTTTATTATATTTGTAGGGCTCAGGGAAAAAAAAGAAAAGGCAATTCCTTTATTTGAGAATCCTGACATTTATTAGCATAATAAAACTCTCAAGATGAAACTGCAGTTTTCCAGACAGTAATTTCATTTGCAGGACAACTTACAAGGGATTTATTTTAAAGCCAGGTAAAAAGGTAAAACCTAAAATATATGAGACATGCACAAAGTGCAGGCCCCAAATAAAATGAAAGAAATGTGTTAGGGATGGAAAACTCAGCTGTTGTCTCTCACATATGAATTAGGGGTGACAAGAACAACAGTACAGGGATTCCGGGTCTCAACCCATCTTGGTCTGCTTTCAAAGCTGCTGGTAGTTCTTGGAACAGAAGTTTCTTCCAACACCTTGAAAATCATCACATCGTTTCCCTGACACATCACGGCTAAGTACTAAGTTGTTGTTTTTATTGTGGTTGTTGTTAGAAATACCTTTTTCATTTGGACAGAGCTTTCATGTTTATTATTTAACTGACCTGCAAAAAAACCTAGTGATGGCCATATGGAAAATTCCCTTTTCAGTCATAGTGAGGTTTACTGGAGTTAAATGACTTGAACAAAGTCACATAGTTGGTAAATCAGAGAGCCAAAACTAAAACATGGTTCCTCTGAGTCCATAAAATAAGGCAATTTTAGTGATAATCAATTATGGTTTTAAGGCATGTTAGAGTTCAAAAAGCAGGTTCCTTCCATCATTTCACTTTACGCATTTAGTGAGACAGGCAGACTGGAAGAAGCCATGGAGCTGAGTTGCAAAACTGGTATTATTAAACACTTATGATAGGTTCTTATCCTGGATTCCCCAAAAGGCAGAGCCTGTGGCAAAAACTTATAAGCTGCTACTTCATTCAGAAGTGTTATCCCAAAGCAGCAGGAGACGCAAGGCAGAAAAGGAGGAACAAACAGGGGCAGGGCAGTGTCATACTGATCTGGCCACCACTTGGTTTCAACATGACTGGTTGCTCCATTTTACAGGACTGTCTTCTAAAAGAACATACAAATAGATATCTCTCAGAATAGTTCCTCCAGGAAGAAGGAAGAAGCAGCGATCTACCAGCCTGTGATTCCCATTCATCCAAGATTCATCACATGAGGCATTCATTTCCTGTCTCTTCTCTTTTATTCCTCTGCAGCAACAGGAGATGAAACATGTAGCAAGGTACCATTGGCTTATGTTCATGTGATGCTGACCAACACAGGGAGGAAGAGCAGAGCTCATGTACAACTGGTTACAGTGGTGGTGGCTGGTGGGAGACAAGTGACCAAGGATGTAAGGAACAGGTGAGGCAAGAGAGGAAGTGGGGCACAGGAGATGTTTGATACAGCCATCAAGTAAAGTAAATCGTTCCCTAACATCCTTAGAGTCCATTCATCCTTTTCCTCTCACCAAACACAATGCTGCATTATAATACTAGTAAGTTCCAGGATGAGGATCTGAACCCAAGTCTTCTTGACTGTAAAGACTGTAATCTTCATCACATACTATCTCTGTGTATATAGCCATAACTGTGGAACATAAGTATGCACCAACAGACACCAACACCCATTGAGGAGTTACTGGGTAAGTCTTCTTGTTAATGTAAGAAACATACTGAGACTAAGTTGATAAGAGAATTAAAAGGACAATGAGGACAGAGCTAATAATTGGAGTAACCTGCATAGATAGGGCAGCATTCCAGAGAGCATAGGCCTTATCAGATGTCTAAAAACCATTCTTGCATTTGTAACTCACCCCAGGTCTTGATGATGTCTGCAGGATTACATAAAACCACTGCAAAACCAGAAACAAGATATGATTCAAAGATACAGGAAAGCAGCAAAAGAAGAGGTTAAATAAGGATGGAAGAACAGTGTCAACCAGCTGCCCTGCAAACTGGGGCCCACCTTAGATAATAATTCCAATGATAACATCAATTGTTATAATGGAGAGTAATAATGGAGATTATGAACGATGCAGCATTTATGTCCCCCACAGAAATCCTGTACAATCTTCTATTATCACCATGATTTTATAGAGTGACAAGTAGGAACTAATTTAAAATAAACCACTGCTTATTTGTTGGAAAACTTTTAGAAGTGCATTCATTCAACAAACATTTACTGAATGTCTACCATATGTTAAATTCAGGGTTCAGCACTGGAATTATTTTGGATTATTAAAACATGGTCCATGCACTCTAAGAGCTCAGTTTACAGAAGCCATGACAAACAAGCTTTTGTTTCTTGCTAAGCTCTTTATCAAAGAGTTGCATGAGCTATTAGCAATTTCTGTCCCGATCACTGGGAATAAGACCAGCAGCCCTATGCCACAAATGTCATATCCCTTAAGACATATTAATCTACTTTTTCCTCTGGATAGTTGTGGATCTTCCAGGAGGCCATAGGATTTGAGTTGAGAAGTTCTTAAGCTGAGTTCAGAAACAGGATGCCCAAAGAATCCAACTGATAAGGAAAAAAAATTATTCAAACAACAGATGGTAGTCTGGTGGGCTGTCCCTCTGTCCACAGGGTTCTTGAAGCAACTCTCCTCCTGAAACAGTGATAATTTCCTCCTAAAAGAGAAAAAAAGGAAAAGAAAGGACAGAAAAAATCTGCCTTTAAAAAGAAATAAATTCACAAAAAGTACTGGAAAACAAAAGGAATGCCATCAACAAAGTGAAACATATTGAAGAATCCTTGAAAAACAAAAGACATGCAGGAGGGGCTTGTCAGAGGAGTCAGTGTGGGACACCAGTCACAGCAAGCTGAGGAAGGGTTGAGGAACTCCAGTAGGTGTTCACCTCCAGCAGGTCAGGGAATGAGGAGATGCACACAGTTCCTTGGAAGCCCCAAGAGACCCAAAAAGTTCAGACAGTCCCTATGCCCAAAAGATGAGCCACTCACAGTCACCTCCAACCCCTACAGCATGAAGACACTGGATTCGGGAAACAAAACTGTATCCACTCATGATAGACAGAAAATTTAAAGTTGGAAGGCCACTCCATAGCCTAAAATTTATAGGCATTTAAGGAAAAATATAACCATAAAAGAAAAATACTGAACTCAACAACAGAAATGATTTCCAGGAAAATATCAAGTCTATAAAGCAAACAGAAGAGGCTTTAAGAGATGTGCATTAATCTCTCCTCAGCGGAATAAGAAATAAGTCATCTATGAAATGAGAATGGGTATTATTTAAAAAAGAAAAAAAGAACCAATCAAAGAACCTGGAAACCAAAAGCATGACCATTTAAATTAAAAGGAAAAAATTTAAGTAGAAGAACTGAAGAGCAGAATGCTCATAACTAAAGAGCAATTCAGCAGCTGAAAGAAACGTCACATCAATAAGAAAGAGACTGCCTAATAGAAAAATGGACAAAGGACATAAAAGGACGACTCACAGAAGAAATCCAAGTGGCCATGAAATGTGTGAAAAGATCCTCAGCATCAGTGGTAATCAGACAAATGCAAACCAAACCACAGTAGATTCAATGTCTGCCCATCTGATGAAGAAAAATGAAATGATTGATAGGCCCCAGTGTTGGCAGCAGTGTGGGGAAACAGCCTCATATAGTTTTGGCAGGAGGCTGAATTGGCACTACATTTTTGGAGGGCAATCTGGCAGATCTTTTCTAATTAAAATGTACATACTTTTCTCTCCAGCAATTCCAGTTCCAACACCATCCTACTGCACATGTATCCATAGTGACACACACAGGGAAGTCTCTGCCGCACTATTCAACATCATGAAAAATCGGAAGCCAGACAAGTGGCCATCAAAAGGAGAATGGGTAATTATACTGTAATATGCATCCATACCATGCAATACCACATGGCATTTACAAGGTTTGGTATACGAACTGACGTAGGAAGAGCTCATAGCTACATTTTAATGACAGCCAGCATGTCCTGAAATTACAAGTATCAGGTATATTGTTTCAACACTTTACACAGTAATGTTTCATTAAAACCTTACAGTGACCCGAAGAGTTGAGTGCTACTATTAAATATTAAACTCACTTTACTAACACGGAAACTAAGGCACAAAAGTTGAGCAATCGTCCCAAGTCAAACACAGTAAGTTAGGGTTTAAAACTCAGCAGCCTCATTCTAGGGACCATGCTTTTTAAAATTGCATTCAATGATTTAGTAAGCATGTTAAAAACTCAAGTCACTCATTTATACGTAAAGAACTATGCAACTTGGGCTGGGTGTGGTGGTGCACACCTGTGACCCCAGCTACTAGGGAAGCTGAGATGGGAGGGTCACTTGAGCCCAGGATCTTGAGGTTACGGTGAGCTATGATCGCACCACTGCACTCCAGCCTAGGCAACAGAGTAAGACCTTGTCTCAACAAAAACTATGCAACTAATATGAAAAACAACAAAACCATATATTTCCTTATGTACATAAGTTTTTATATTACTAATCAGGAGATACTTAGGTAGATACATGATAAATTGATAAAGTGGAGGATGGAAATGGAGATTTGACAAAATCAAACTGTATTTGATTTTTCTTAGAATGTAATCATGAATTGTATAATTAAAATTTTAATTTATAGAAGTTGGCCACCAGATCTCCACATGGGCATAAATGATCTCTCTCCTTAGTGTTAGAAATGAAATTGTCTCAAATGTTTCAATTTGGAAGAGAACAAAGACCTTCAGAAATCTCTGGTCTAGCCTTTCTCCGGAACCTGTCCTGAGGGAGGGGCATTTATCCTTTGCCTGAAACACTTTCAGGGACAAGGAGCTCATCACTGCTAAAACAGCTGCTATTATAGAGGAAAAGCAAATAATGTGGCTTAGTGGGAAAAGTACATTATCTAGAGGCAAACAGCCTGAGGCTTAACTCCTGGCCCTAACTAGAAGACTTAGCCCTGGTTTCTAATCAGTGGAATGGGGCTAAGATGCCTCCCTCACAGATCTACTGGGAAGATTAAATAAGAGCATGGATATAGAACGGTAGGTTCAGTGCCTGACACAGAGAACATGCCAATATCCTCACATTCCCTCCCTTTCTCTTTCCTCTGTTAGAAGGCTCTTCCCAACACGTGGCAATTGACCTTGATCCTGGTTAGTCCAGTTTCCAGGCAGTATGCCACACTCAGTGCCGGGGTATCTGTGAATGGGTGATTCTCCATGTGTATTACTCATAAGCTCAAGGGCTGTCCCCGAAGTTCTAGGGACCTCCATGAAGAGACTGAGAGAAAGCAATACAAACCTACGAGTCCCTATTATAGCAAAAGCCCAGTGAGGCCGTCAGGTCATTCTGTGAAACTAACTACACATGCAAAGCTTTTGGTTAGATGCTGGACGCCTGAGCTACTACCACTCTGCCTTTTGGAATCCTTTGTCCTGCCCTTTTGGGTCACTTAGTGCTACCTCTGGCTTGATGCCAATTGCCACACGAACATAAACGTTGCTTCTTACTATATACACTATTTGGAAGACAACATCTTTCCCAATATAGGGTCCCTGGTAGGAGGACAAATAACAAAAAGAATGCCGAGAAACAAGATCTTCCATAAGCACTTCACAGCCAAAGAGCACTGCTGTGTACTTGGCTTCATTTAATGCTCACAGGGTCCGAGCTAAGTATTATTTACCTCCATTTGCCTGGCTTGGATGCTGATGCTTGGTGAGACTAAGGTGCTGGCTCAAGGTTACATACATACCAAGTGGTAAAGCTGGAGTTCAAATAAGAGACATGGTAACTCCGCCACTAGAAAAGCTTCTCTAATCACAGGGTTGCCTGCTGCACTTCCACTAACTATCAGAAGCTGCCAGGGGCCTCAGAGGTCCTCATGAAAGATGTTCTTGGGAATGAGTTGGAGATGAGACCCAGGCTTGGGGAAAGGGATGATCATCCAGTTCTGTGTTAACAGGAGGGAGCACTCAGGTACCCAAGGTGAGAAGAGCCTTGAGGACCAGGATGAGAGGTACCCACGTGCCCCAGATAGTGAAGCAGAGAACAGAACAGTGGGCCCCAGGGCCCAGTGTGGACAACTTCTGGTCCCTTCTGCCCTGATGCTCTACATCTCCGAGACCCTCCAGCCACACTGCCCAGAGCCAGCAGGTTGCTTCCCTTGCTCTAGCTCTCTCTTCAGCTCAAGTTTCCACCAGTTTTACCCCCTGATTAGAATCCTATGAGGGATACCTTATGGAAATCAACGAGATCCGTGAGCGTTGCATGGCGATTGGGGTCTACTCCCAGGAAGCTGTAAAAATCCCCAGAGGCATCCACAAGAAAGTGCTTGAACCCTTTCTGCAGGCGGTAGGAGAGGGTGTAACCCCAGATTTTCTCACTGACCCGGACCAGGAATGCTCCCTCAGTCATGTTCTCCAGAAGATCTTCCGCATCTTCTCGGCTAATGATTCCTGATTTTAAAAATTAAAAATAAAAAAGCAGGTTCTGCAACAGCCTCCCCGCAATCCTCCACTCTTCCTTGCCCCTTACCCTGTGGCTCAGTGCACATGCCATCCACATGGCATCCAGGATGCCAGGAAGGAAAAAGCCCCAGGGGCTGGCCAAGCATATGCCTCCTGCCACAGAGACGGCATCTTGGCCCAGCGCCACCACCATGAGCCTGGGAGCAGAGTTTCTACTGGGACCTGGGTTGAGCATGCTTTCCTCCACATTGAGCCTCGCTGATTTGGATTAATTAGCTAAGCAAGCAATTAGTAATGAGCTGTGATTATAGCATCTATTGATTACAAATACAAGTCAACAGGCTTGTGAAAAGCCTTAAGAGGCCTGCTTGAAAGACTACTCTAGAATGGCTGCTGATGATTGCCTCACTTACCTCTCTGGGGTGATAAATGAGCACCTAAAATGAGGGTTTTCCCTTAAAAACTAAAAAGACTTCTTCCAAATTCCTGTGGACACCAGGCAAAAAGTTCCTTAATAGGGACATAGAATTGAGCTTCACTTCAGCTCAAAGATCAAAACTTTTTCAGGACTTGCAGTCCTATACAATACGGTTTCATCACAATTTGGAAGTCGGGTCTGGCCCTGGAGTTTTTGATATGCTTGTAGCAATCCCCTGAAATGCTCTCAGGGAACTGCTCTCATCTGGGTGATACAGGAGAGGTGATGTGTTTGGTAAAGCAGGTTCCAGAGGCAGGGAGGTGGGAAGAGGAGGGGAAGCCAGAAGACCTGGATTACCCCCACCTCCGACCTCTGCCGACCTGACTACAGAATTTTTAGCCAAGCCCTCAATGTCTCCAATGTCCTTTGACACTTAGACGATCATAACCCAAATACTTTAAAGATTTTCAAGTTGAAAAAAAGGATTCAAACTCATTTCATACACAGAGAATAGCTGTGGAGATGCTGGATCCTGTTATCATCTGTTATTTTGGAGGAGAGGTGAATTGCAACACATTGTCCCTTTGCTCACCCACAGACTTACCCTTTCCACACTGTCTGTGATGGGCAGAGGGACAGAGGGGCCGGGCTGCCCATCTCCACGACCCTGAGAGGCTCTGCACACCTGTGACTTCTCCCCAGTCCCCGATGCCACTCCCGAGTGAGTTGCAGTCAGCCTCCTCTCCCATCACTCTCCTGCCTCACAGGGCACACTCGAGACTTCCCTTGTGCCCAAGGCAGAGGACACAAAGGCAACCACACTGCCAAATGCTCCACATTTTAAAGACAGTTGGCACAATCAGGGGCCACCTATTTCCTCCTTGCCCAGGACTTAACAGCAAGAGGCATCCAAGCCAGCTACCCCTCCCCAGTCAAACTCTAGAAGCAGAAAAGGAGGAAAAGTAAGACAAGGAAGGAAATGAGGAGCCCTTTCGCCACAGGGCACCTGAAAAATAACACTGCCCCATGCAAGAGGGAGGATGCACCCGGGTGCTGCCCCACAGAAAGCCTTGGGGGCTTCATGCAGAAAAGCAGGGACAGCCAAAAGAAGACCAAAAGAGAAAGTCCAGGATACCTCAAAACTCAGCACTGTCCCTCACCTGACTCCCTTCCCCAACACCAGAACACATGGGCCGTAAAGGAGGCTGCAGCACGGAGATAAGTAAGGGGAACCAGAGACAGGGCCAGGGCCTGGGAGGAAAAAGGACCAGATGATGTTACCCTCATCCCCACTCCAAGTACCATGAGCTGAAGCACAGGCAGGTCTAGGGTTGGAGAGGAGGGGAGTGTTACTAGGGTGGGAGACTAACAGTCAAATCAAATAAGATTCAATTTTTTTTCTTAGACAAGTATCTTTATTTTATAACATTTATTACTTTTTCATTGATAAATAAAAATTGTATATATTTATGGTATACATGACATTTTGATATATATATGCATTGTGGGATGGCTAAATCAATCCACTTAAGATTAACATATGCATTGTCTCACATACTTATTTTTTAGTGGTAAGAACACTTAAAGTCTACCCTCTTAACTGGGTACAGTAGCTCACGCCTGTAAGCCCAGCACTTTGGGAAACCGAGGTGGGAGGATCACTTGAGCCCAGTAGTTCAAGACCAGCCTAGGCAACACAGCAAGGCCCCCATCTCAGCAAAAAAAAAAAAAATTAAAAAATAACTTGGGCATGATGATACACACCTACTTGGGAGGCTGAGGCAGGAGGACCATTTGCGCCCAGGAGTCGAGGCTGCAGTGATCTGTGATCACACCACTGCACTCCAGCCTGGGTGACAGAGCAAGATCCTTTCTCAAACAATCAAACAAAAACTCTCTTGGCAACTTGCAAGTATACAATATATCGCTAATTATAGTTACCATGCTGTACACTAGATCTCTTGAACTTATTCCTCCTGTCTAAACAAAATTTTATGTCCTTTGACCAACATCTCCCCAGTGCCTGCCTCTCCCAGCCCCTGGTAACCACCATTCCACTTTCTGCTTCTGTTAGTTCAATGTTTTTAGATTCCACATATAAGTGAGCTCATGAGGTATTTGTCTTCCTGTACCTGACTTGTTTCACTTAGCATAATGTCCTCTATGTTCATCCACGTTGTCACAAATGACAGGATTTCATTCTTTTAAAGGCCAAATAGTATTCCATTGCGTACATATACCACATTTCTCTATTGATTCAACTGTTTAAATAGACACTTAGATTGGGCCTGGGTGTGATGCTTCATGCCTATAATACCAGCATGTCAGGACGCTGAGGTGGGAGGATCGCTTGAGCCCAGGAGTTCAAAACCAGCCTGGGCAACATAGCAAGACCCTGTCTCTACAAAAATTTAAAATATTAGCTGGACATGGTGGCACATGCCTGTGGTCCCAGCTACTCAGGAGGCTGAGGTGGGAGAATCACCTGAGCCCAGGAATTCAAGGCTGCAGTGAGCTATGATCATGCCACTACACTCTAGCCTGGACAACAGAGCAAGGCCCTATTTCAAAAATAAATAAATAAATATATAAACAAACACACACTTAGGTTGATTCCCTATCTTTGCTATTGTGAATAATGCTACAATCAACATGGAAGTATAGATATCTCTTTGACATACTGATTTCGTACCCTTTGGATAAATACCCAGTAATAGGGTTGCTGGGATTATGGGGTACTTCTATTTTAAAGTATTTTAATGCTTTAAGAGAATGTGCAAGGGGTCTATTTCCTGCAGCACTTGCTAACACATTTTGGGGGCTTGACTTTTTAATGTGCCAAAATGACCAGTAACACCAAAGTGACGATACGTCATGTGTCTCACCCACTTGAAACCCTTGAGCAGCTTCCCCTGACTTCCAACAGAGCCCAGGCTCAGGCACAGCAGGCAGCAGCCACCATGCCCTGCCCCGACCGACCCCTCTAGGCTTATCACACTGTTCAGTACCGGCTGTTCCCCCACAAGCTGACCTTGGACTGAAGCCACATCCCAACCCCCTTCACTCCTGCTGACCCTGACTCCTCCTTGAAAGCCCATTCTCTTCTCTCTCCAGAATCATGGGCTATGGGCAGCCTACACATTCTATCTTTGTGCAAATTAGGAAAGGATGACCTTCTGAGTAGCTGAATTAGAAAAATATGCCCCTCTGGGCCAAAACCACAAAGCCTACAGCTTGACTGGGGAAGGTGATGGCTGCACATCAATCCTCAAACACTCCCTCCTGCATGGGGCAGTGCTTATTTTTCAGGCACTCTGTAGTGAAAGGACTAGTTCTCTCCAACTAGCCCCACCCCTCAGGTCCCCTGTTCAGTGTGCAACCTGCTCAGCTGATCAGGAAACCTTTTATCTCCCAGGAGACTGTGTTGGATATTCCACATTTGGGTTTTCATGACTTCCTGCCAAAACCCTACAGTAGATTAGTAAATAGGCTATGAGCCGGTCAAGGCCGGCACCTGTGGCTGCCATGACAGTGAGCTGCCCAGGGCTCCCTCCAAGACAGAAACCTGTTGCTGGGAGCAGCAGCATCTTGCCCTTCGGGTCCTCCATAGGGTCATACTGTCCCCAGGCTGCTTCCAGCCAAGGGCAGGGCATGGGGGTGCTAGAGCCACCACTCCTACCCAAGGCAGGACTCTTCTGGCAGGCAGTCTTTGCTCTGGGGCCCTCAATCAGTCTGATCAAGATTTTCTCTCTGAAACCCATTTTGGTTTGGTGTCCTCATCTATTAAGTGGTATAGATATTAATAGATACATCTTAAAGCTGTTTGAGAATTAAGTTAATGCATGAATATGTTTAGCAAAGTGCTCAAAAAACCACAATAAATATCTAATATGATATAATTAGCTGCATTGGATGCACTACAGATTCTACACACGTGTTAGTGTTGCAGGCTGCCTGGTGCTGGTAGCTACAATGGTGACAGGACTGTCAGGCTGTGTGCCCCCCACAACCACAGATAAACACACATTCAATTCTCTCAAACATGGGCTATTGAAGGTGACTTCCTCCTAAGAGGCCCCAGCCTGCACCATAAACTTAGCTGGGCCATTTCTAGGAGACTGTCCAGGTCTCTGTGAATTCTGCCCCTTCTTTGATATTGCTGATATAATTTGGATGTATGTCCTCTTTAAATCTCATGTTGAATTGTAATCCCCAGTATTGGAGGTGGGGCCTCGTCGGGGGTGATTGGATCATGGGGGTGGATTTCTCATGAATGGTTTAGCACCATCCCCTTGGTGCTGTCCTCAAGATAGTGAGTGAGATCTGGTTGTTTAAAAGTGTGTGGCATCAGGTCGGGCATGGTGGCTCAAGCCTATAATCCCAGCACTTTGGGAGGCTGAGGCGGGTGGATCACGAGGTCAAGAGATCGAGACCATCCTGCTCAACATGGTGAAAACCCGTCTCTAGTAAAAATACAAAAATTAGCCAGGCGTAGTGGCGCGTGCCTGTAGTCCCAGCTACTCAGGAGGCTGAGGCAGGAGAATCGCTTGAACCCAGGAGGCAGAGGTTG